TATACATAAAATATTTATTGTTGGAAGCTGGAACATATAGAATATAGCGCATGACTTTTCTATAAAATTTGAAAGAATAGAACATAGAATCATGGTTTCATCACTCGGCACTATGTATGAAATACTCAATAAAATAAGGTAATCATTGAAACCAAAAAGAGTAATTTCAACCGCAAGTTAAAAAGGAAGAAGTTGATTATATATAGAACCATTTTTTATTTAATTGTTTCTTAACTGTTTAATTTGTCGCTTGTGAAACAATCAAGCACATGGGTCAAACTATACTTACTACTATATATGTGAAATTGTGCATTATCATTCCTTTGTCTCAAATTAAGCTAGAAAACCATGAAAGAAGAACACCCATATATGCAAGATAGAACCACCCCGATCATAGTTCTATTTTATTTAAACAAATAACTTCTAATTAGACTTTAGAACCATACCACTTCACTGATTCGACTCTGAGTATGGTTCTACACATACAAAATTATTTTACCCTAGCTAAATACTATATATTATGATCAAGTGAAATCTACTCCCAATCAAAACAATATATCAAACAGCCTAAATAATATTTTGTAAATAAATGTGTTAATTTCATAATTACAATCCGTAACATTGCAGGATGCGGACATCGTCAAAAAAATAAAAATAAAAGAATAATTATAAATTATTACTAATCAATTAAATATATCTTTAACTAAAAAGTTATAGGACATATAAATCTACAAAATTGTATAGTACTTGAATTACCAAATAATTATTCTGAATCATCATAGTTTGTAAAGAATTAATAACTTTATAAAATTATATACCAGAATATTGCTGAAATTCATAGCAATAAATATAGTAAAGTATATTATTTAATTTTTATTAAATTATTAAAATGAAAATATAGAGATAAATGGGTGTAAATGTGTGGTCAGCACGTGAGAGTTACTTTTGGCGCATGGGAAAAGCTGATGGAAATACCACATCGTCAACACTTTTCATTTTAATTTTATACTGAAATGGTCTCAGATGAAAGGTAAATCAAACATTAAAATAAATTTTCTTTCGGCGAGTTAAAATTTGGGTTGTGCGAGAAAAAAAAGACTTGTAATTGTGTGTTGTCGTGGTTGGCCAGTAAACCAACGTGTATAAACCATAAATGGTAATTGTGTGGGAAAAAAAGACTTGTAAATGTGTATCGTCGTGGTTGCTGGTTGTGCAGTAAAATGTGGCAAATGGTCGTGGTAGGGCTGTAAAAATGTGGCAAATGTATTTAACTGATTGTCACCTACATTGGTGGCTTGGTGCATTTTAATAGTATAACAAACAGTAAGAGTATATTTTCTCATTATACGCGATGTAGCATAGGCTTAAGCTAATTGTTTTTTTTTTTTGGTTCCTAAAGTGATTAATTCTAATTGTTTTAATTTCTAAAGTAGTAGTACAAATGTACAATGTAAAATTTCTTGAAGATACTGTGGGAAAATGATAATGTAGAGGCGTAAAAGTAAAACAATAGTACCAGAAAGAGGGAAAGAAAAATATAAAACAGAAAGAAAATCAAAAGAAAAAGAAAGGAATAGAGAAATAGTGCGGCGATGTGTGACGGATAATTGAAGAGAGAGCGGGGCCCACCTGACCGCACCATAAAAGAGACGCAAATTGTCTGGAATTAAGGAACCATTATTATATTTTCTATTTCCATTTCATTTTCGTTTTATTTTATTTTTCTTCCCGATTTTCATTATCTTCAGTAAAAGTACGTAAGGTTATCGGGTCTGGTCAATAAGTAATTCAAGATCCAATTCTGCGCCTAGTGAGCTTGTAAAAGGGTCAAAGAAAACAAGTTTTTATCAAAAGAGATTTGGAATGTGGGGCGAAATGTTTTCCGATCAAAGATTTTGGTAAGAAATGAATGAAACAAACGTGTTATCTCTCCCGTACGACCATAACACATGTTTTAATTGGAGTGAGTTATGTGTGCGATTGTATTGAAAACTTATATTTTATGATTTTCCGATATGTCCATCTTCGTTGTATCTCATATATAGTCTTTCTGTATTTATAGAACAAATATATGACCCCGAGTATGGAAATAGTAGACTAGGTTATTATATGATGGCTTAAATTTTGGAATGTATTGTCAATGGTCTATTTCGTATAGTGATTAAAAAGACCTATAAGATATTCTATTATACTTAGGAACCACAATTGTTATAGTCGTATCAACAAAATCGGATTTTCGTGCTAGTATAAATATGGATTAACTTCATAGTTTAAATCCTCAATTTTTAAGGATTTGTAAACAATAATTCATATATTCATGAAAGAGAACTAAAGGTAATTAACTTAACTCATTTTTTTTCTTTACAAAATTCAAATTTTGCTTGTTGTTTCTCGCGAGTGTCAGCTCACCGTAGTCATACGATTTTACGAAACAAACAAGATCATGTTTTCAATGATTTTGACATGTGATCTCCTTAGTTGACCTTTGAGCAATGTCAACTTGATTGCAAAAGCATGCTATACGCAATTGATTTGAATGTGTATCTTTGTATAAGTGCATTACATATTTGGTTGGTTATATATGAGCAGCCATAGCGATGGAGTGATGGACAAATATATGTAAGAAATGTACCGGCTCTAAGCCCATGTTTTATTGGTTTGTATCCAAGATCGGATCTGTCGATGGTTATCTGCTACAATCATTTTAGCAAGTGGGTTTCTTTACTGTGATCTACGATTTCTTTTCTACTGCCAAAACATTGGTGCATGCAACATACGATCGTCCGCAAATTGAATAATACGTTGATTTTTCCAAAGACGTTTTTATTGAAATGTGTTAATATCTGGTTGATGGATGGAAAAATATCTCAACAATCACCTTGGAATCTTCATTAATTTGATTTCAACCATAAAACTATCTCGCGAGTAAATTAGAAAATTCCAAAGAGAATCAAAATTTGATTGCATCGTTTATATACGTTTTTGGTTATGGAGTTATATTGTTTCATACATGATACAAATATATATGTTCAAACATTTTTAGGCGACATGTACATTATGACACATAACAATCTAGTGGCATGTAAAGAAAAAAACACAGAGAAAAAGGTTAAATTTGGGACGAAAAGAAAGTAACAAAGTTTTTTACAGAAAGTAATTACACTTACAGATGAAAGAAAAGGCACTATGATATGTAAAAGATGTCAAAGAGGTTTAGTCGTATCACTGTGTTTGACCGATCACTGTCTTCTGATTCCTTTTTCCAATTTTATAATTGTGATCTACAAATTAATTTATTCGCTGCTTTAATCAGTCAGTAAATGATAGGTTATTAGACTATAAATAATTCCAATGAAAACATTTAAACTAGTATTCATATTTTGGCGTGTTGTTAGCGGTTTAGCTCCTTCAGCCTCAGCTTCATGTAGTAGCGCTTGTTCTCGTAAAAGTTTTATATATAGAATGAGAATGACTAATCTGGATGAGAAAATAAAACAATCACTAATCTTAACAATTTTAGTTTTAATTTTATTCTCAAAATTGTTTCATCATTCTAGATACCATGCAAGTTAGTTATTTTCTAGTTACTTTTATTTATCAATGAAAATAGTTACCATTTTTCTTGCAGCAACGCCATTTTTTTTACATATCATACCTAACTATTGATTGTATCTTTGAAGTGAAAATTCGATCACTGGCTACAAAAATTTACAATTTGTATCTTACACATGTACCGAAGGACCTAGTCTTTTTAATGGTGTATCTGACCATTGGTTTTTAGTGGTAAAATCTAGACCTAAACACTTGTATATATACTTTTCAAATAATACAAATTTGGTTCGTATAATAAATGAAGATAAGACATTCTAACAAATAAAACACTACCACAAAGGGATAGTGAGAGAATGTGTTTCATAACAAGACATACTTTGATTGCTTGATGTGTTAAAATGATTATGTCAGAGACAGAGAGCGATCATAGGCTTTGTTTATTCTTCTCGTAATAACGTTTTTATTTTCCGTCGAATTTTTACGATTGAAATTTGCAACTCGAAAATTCGCTAAGGTAGAAAACAATTGTGTAGATCTCATAATAGAAGAAAGTTGAAAACACCATTTGTTACAAGCATAACTTCAATAGCACAACTTTAGTAGTAGACCATGTCTTATAATTAAGTCTTACTTTATTTTTTTTTAATGAATAAAACTTTTAGTGAAGGACGATAAGTTGTTCCTCCATATTTTTTTTTAAATTGTGGATAACTTCAACATGTATATTTTAAATTGGAATAAAAGCAGTGTTTGATAAGATTTGTTATTTTTCCTTAGGTTTTACAAGAGCTTTCCACATTTGCATTTTATTTAGTTCTATCTAGAACTCACAATCACGACAACCATATTTTTGTTGTTTTTTTTTTGTATGTTTTGTTTTCTTTCCAAAACATTTATTTAGGGGTTTAGAATTTAGAATAAAAGAACATCCTAGCTACAAACCAAAAATGCTTACCAGATAAAATTCCACATCATTTTAGTATGGAATTACAACTCTAAACATTCACTTATAAAAAATTGAAAAAAGTACAAAAATTAAAGTGTCAAACCATTGTTTTCTCAAAATATTTGAGTACTTTTTTAGTTGTTTGATTTTCTACAATTTAGAGCGTCTCGTGCATAGAAGACATCTGTTCTTTGGTAATCCCTTGCAATGCATGATCCTCCACACATCTAAGAAGCATTCAGCCAAGAACAAAAAAAATGGACGTTACATTTCATTAACAGGTTTAGACCGAATGTTGAAAACAAACAAAAGAGGTTAAGAGATTAGACTATCTTCTTTAACTAAACTCGATTTTAACTATCCAATTCCAAAGAGTAAAAAGACTAAATAAATGGTTTCCTATATAGTCATTTCACAAAAAGAAGAGGGACAAGTTCGTAAATGATCGCCGTATTATTATTAATAAAGAAGAGGGACAACTTTTCTTTTTCCGCTTATGCACAGCTTGTCGGTTTGCGTGCAAATCCTCTGTTTCACGATTTCTCTCTCTCTCTCTCTCTTCTCTTTTATTCCTCCCTCTGTTCTAAGTTCAGAAAGCGGACACACATCACTTACTCTCTCTCTCTCCTTCACTTTCTTCACTTTCTCACATAACCACTATCTCTTTTCTTCATTTGAATTTATTTTAGTGTTCTCCTGAGTTTCAAACCTTTTCAGCTTCGATTGTACCAAGTGATGTTCTGGGTTTCTTCTACTTCTTCTTTGCCATCATTGTTTTCAAGGTTTCTGTGTACTGGATTCTGCTAATGCTTCGAGCGTTTGGTGTCTCTCTTCTCTGAGAGAATTAACGTCACTTTCTCAGGGAAAGTTTTGGGTTCTTCTTTCTCTTTTCCCAGAAAAAAAAAATCAAACTCTGTAATTGGGTTTCTGGGTGTGATTCTGTATTCCTGGAAGAATCTTCAAAATTCTCAGATCTGAATCTTTCTTTTCACTGTTTTAATTTTTTCCTCATCTTCGCTTCCTTTTTTTTTCTTTTCCAAAATTCTCAGTTTCCACATGTCGTTGGTCTTTCGCTACAAGCCACGACCATAGAATCTTCTTTGTCTGAAAAAACAAAAGAATTACAATTTACGTTTCTCTTAAGAAACGACGACGGACTTTCCTAAGAAAAAATAAAGATTTATAGATAAAAAAAAATAAAAAAGGGAAGAGAAGTAAAGAAGAAGAAGAAGCAAGTTTGAGACTTTGGAGTTTTGTGGTCGAGAAAAAATGGAGATGGCGGTGGCTAATCACCAAGACAGAAGTAGTGACAGCATGAATAGACATTTAGACAGTAGCGGCAAGTACGTCAGGTACACGGCGGAGCAAGTGGAGGCGCTCGAGCGTGTCTACTCCGAGTGTCCTAAGCCAAGCTCGCTCCGGCGACAACAATTGATCCGTGAATGTTCCATTTTGGCCAATATCGAGCCTAAGCAGATCAAAGTCTGGTTTCAGAACCGGAGGTATAATTTTTTTCAAATTGCTTCTTCTCACTTTCTAGGAAGAAGGAATGAAAAAAAATCTGTAATTTAGAAGAGTATTCCTTTGTCTTGTTTTGTTGCTCTTAGAAGATTTTGGTCCGTGATTCGATTCTCCGACACAATTTCCTGTCTTTTTATTTTTCGTTTAAAAGGGTTTCTCTGAATCTGTCTAGTAGTTTTGATGTGAAGTGCCGGATTTGGATTCATGTGTATCATTTATCCTCATTAGCTCTATGACTATTCTTGTGACTATGTCTATTGTCTGATGCATAATCTTATCTGGTTTTGTGGGGTTTAGGTGTCGAGATAAGCAGAGGAAAGAGGCGTCGAGGCTCCAGAGCGTAAACCGGAAGCTTTCGGCTATGAATAAACTGTTGATGGAGGAGAATGATAGATTGCAGAAGCAAGTTTCTCAGCTTGTCTGTGAAAATGGATACATGAAGCAGCAACTAACAACTGTTGTACGTAACTCAAAAATTTCTCTTTTTTTTTGGGAAAAAGAATTATCCGTGTAAGTTATTGAATTGATGTTGTGATTTCAGGTGACAGATGCAAGCTGCGAATCTGTGGTCAATACTCCTCAGCATTCGCTTAGAGACGCGAATAGTCCTGCTGGGTAAAGTTTCATTTTTTGAAATTTGTAGTGACTTTTTTCATAACTTTTCTCTCTTGGTCTAATCACTTGGTTTTGTTCTTAGATTGCTCTCGATCGCAGAGGAGACCTTGGCAGAGTTCCTATCCAAGGCTACAGGAACTGCTGTTGATTGGGTTCAGATGCCCGGGATGAAGGTTTTACGCTGTCTCCTATCTTTACTCTTGTTTTTGAAATATTTATTGCAATGTATAATATTGAAAATGTGTAATCTGTTGCTGTGTATTTTATTAGCCTGGTCCGGATTCGGTTGGCATCTTTGCTATTTCGCAACGATGCAGTGGAGTGGCAGCTCGAGCCTGTGGTCTTGTTAGTTTAGAACCTATGAAGGTAAGAACATGCCACTCTTTTCAATGCTATACGGACAAGACTCAAACCTGTTTCACTCTCAGCCATTTCTGGTTTACTATTTTCTTGCAGATTGCAGAGATTCTCAAAGACCGGCCGTCTTGGTTCCGTGACTGTAGGAGCCTTGAAGTTTTCACTATGTTCCCGGCCGGTAATGGCGGCACAATTGAGCTCGTGTATATGCAGGTGAATCTTATTCTCTTTTGGTTTAGTTTTCTGTCTCTTACAACCATTGAAGATGAAAATAAATACAGTTGAGAAATGACTTTTCGTCAGACATATGCACCAACGACCCTGGCTCCTGCCCGCGATTTCTGGACCCTGAGATACACAACTAGCCTCGACAATGGCAGTTTTGTGGTATGCAACTCTCATAATGTGTTTACATAAAAGTTTTAAGAATAAATACGCACATATCTCTTCTACAAAAAGCTATTTTTTTATTCTTTCAATGTGTCTTTAAAAGGTTTGTGAGAGGTCACTTTCTGGTTCTGGAGCTGGTCCTAATGCTGCCTCAGCTTCTCAGTTCGTGAGAGCAGAAATGCTTTCTAGTGGGTATTTAATCAGGCCTTGTGATGGTGGCGGTTCAATTATTCACATTGTCGATCACCTTAATCTTGAGGTAATTAGATCTTCCCAGAGAATATATTGTGTGTGGTTGCTTCCTTAAAATGAAGTGATTCTAAGTCTAGTGTTCTTGCATTGTAGGCTTGGAGTGTTCCTGATGTGCTTCGACCCCTTTATGAGTCATCCAAAGTGGTGGCACAAAAAATGACCATTTCCGTGAGTGTGTATATAAAAGTAACCATGCTAATATATGATTGATTAATATCCGTTTCTAATGGTTGGGTTCATGTTTTAGGCGTTGCGGTATATCAGGCAGTTAGCTCAGGAGTCTAATGGTGAGTTAGTGTATGGAATAGGAAGGCAGCCCGCTGTTCTTAGAACCTTTAGCCAGAGATTAAGCAGGTAATTCGATCATTAGCTGAAATATAGTTCTTCTTTGCTCTCTGTTTTCTCTGTTTTTTAATTTTGTTTTCTTGTTATTGGTTTTCTTGCAGGGGTTTTAATGATGCGGTTAATGGTTTTGGTGACGACGGTTGGTCTACGATGCATTGTGATGGCGCGGAAGACATTATCGTTGCTATTAACTCTACGAAGCATTTGAATAACATTTCTAATTCTCTTTCGTTCCTTGGAGGCGTGCTTTGTGCCAAGGCTTCAATGCTTCTCCAAGTACGTTATTGGTTCTCTTGTGTGCTTTTGACCCTTTATTTCATGGCCTAGATTAATGTTCTTTAATGTCTTGTGTAGAATGTTCCTCCTGCGGTTTTGATTCGGTTTCTCAGAGAGCATCGATCCGAGTGGGCTGATTTCAATGTTGATGCATATTCTGCTGCGACGCTTAAAGCTGGTACCTTTGCTTATCCGGGAATGAGGCCAACGAGGTTCACCGGGAGCCAAATCATAATGCCACTAGGGCATACAATCGAACACGAAGAAGTAAGGGTTTCTAGTCTTATCCAATGAGGAAAACATCAGTTTGTGTTCTGTCACCTAATGTATTTGGTTTTGTTACAGATGCTTGAAGTAGTTAGATTAGAAGGTCATTCTCTTGCACAAGAAGATGCATTTATGTCCCGGGATGTCCATCTTCTTCAGGTATATCATTTCTAATAACTTGATGGATACTTGAAATTACTCCAATCTTGTAGTTAAATTAACTTGATGATGTATGGCAGATTTGTACCGGGATTGACGAAAATGCTGTTGGAGCTTGTTCCGAGCTTATATTTGCTCCGATTAATGAGATGTTCCCTGATGATGCTCCGCTTGTTCCATCTGGATTCCGAGTCATACCTGTTGATGCTAAAACGGTACTTGTCTTTTGCTCCGTCACTGTTTCTTTACTTACCTAGAGATGTTATTCTCCAATGCTTACATATTTTTTCTTATACAGGGAGATTCGCAAGATCTGTTAACTGCTAACCACCGCACATTAGACTTAACTTCTAGCCTTGAAGTTGGTCCATCACCAGAGAATGCTTCTGGAAACTCTTCTGCTAACTCAAGCTCGAGGTGTATCCTCACTATCGCGTTTCAGTTCCCTTTCGAGAACAACTTGCAAGAAAATGTTGCTGGTATGGCTTGTCAGTACGTGCGGAGCGTGATTTCATCGGTTCAACGTGTTGCAATGGCGATCTCACCGTCTGGGATAAGCCCGAGTCTAGGCTCCAAATTGTCCCCGGGATCTCCTGAAGCTGTTACTCTTGCCCAGTGGATCTCCCAAAGTTACACGTGGGTTTTAATGGCTACTTGTGAATTCTTTCTTGAAAACACCCAGTTTATCGATGATGTCTTACGTTTTGATATGTTTGTTTTTCCAGTCACCACTTAGGCTCAGAGTTGCTGACGATTGACTCGCTTGGTAGCAACGACTCGGTATTGAAACTTCTTTGGGATCACCAAGATGCCATCTTGTGTTGCTCTTTAAAGGTGTGTGTCCTCTACCAAATAGGGGTGTTAAATTCTGCTTTTGGTTTGTGTGCTTTTAGTTTTAATATGGTATGGTTATGTTGCAGCCGCAACCAGTGTTTATGTTTGCGAACCAGGCGGGTTTAGACATGCTAGAGACAACACTTGTAGCTTTACAAGACATCACACTCGAAAAGATCTTTGATGAGTCTGGTCGAAAGGCTCTCTGCTCCGATTTCGCCAAGCTAATGCAACAGGTAACGCAAGAAAATGACAAATCTTTTGGTCAGATAACGTTTGGATTCACTGTCTGAGAAAATGTGTTTGTCTCTACAGGGATTTGCTTGCTTGCCTTCAGGAATCTGTCTCTCGACGATGGGAAGGCATGTGACTTATGAACAAGCTGTTGCTTGGAAAGTGTTTGCTGCATCTGAAGACAACAACGACAGCAGTAATTTGCATTGTCTTGCTTTCTCCTTTGTAAACTGGTCGTTTGTGTAATCTTTATCTCTTGTGAGGATTTTAGGAAAGGCTAATCAAATTTACATTTAGACAACTCAATTTTTTGTTTTTTGGTTGTGTAGGTGTCTCAGTCACTGTTTTGATCAAATGTTCTTCCTTGCTTTTCATTTTGTTTTTTATTTTAGCGAGGAAACCATAAAAGAGACCTGATAATATCTATATCGCATTATATAAAAAGGATGATGTGCCATCTTTTATTTTATTACAATCTCCTATCCATATCTTCGACATGTAGCTGTTTTTCTTCTTCTTCATCGGAATCAAATCATGGAATGAAAAGAGCATTCATGTTTCTAGTGATGACTACCGAGTCAAAGGTTACACATCACTTCCTCTTTTGCCTTTTGTCAGTACTTACATATCCCTTTATATTTAGTTCCTTTTACCATTTAGTAATATTGTATATAACTAGTTAAGAAAAAAAAACAAAGAATCAACAAGAATCCACAGATGTAAGAAAGAAAAATTACAGCCGAGTACAATTTTTGACCGGCCGTTTAAAATGAAAGGCTCTTCAGAATTTCATGCATCTCGCCGGTAAACCAGTCTGATGATTGACGGCGACAATCTCGGTGACATTGTTGCAACGGAGAACATCTTGACCAAGCTTAGCTCCTGCAGCTTTAAGACCTTTAAGAGAAACAGGAATGTTAAATAGATTGAGTGATGGAAGCTTTGAAGCGGGAGGGAGTTTCTGGTTCGGTAAGAAGTTTCTGAAATCATCCATAAGCAAAGGAACTTCGAAATCGGATTTGTCGTGTTTCACCATATTGTCTTTGGCTGCGATGTGAGCTCCTGGTTCCATGTGGTTGGTTGAGAAACTTTGTTGGTTAGGGAAGTTTGGGTAGAGACTAACGTATCCTCTAAGGTACATCATGTCGATCAAGAATTTCTTCCAAGAAGCTTGCCAACCGTTGGTTCTTGATTTTGGAATCTGAACCGGATTAGCTTTCGCGTTCTCCGTGAATCTCATGTTCATGTAGACATAGAACTCTCTCCATTGCTTTGGGAAGAAAACGGCTCCCCAACTACAAGGCAACTGGTGAAGGTAAGGAGTGTGTGGATGGATTTGTTTGAAGAAATCTGTTGGGTTCCATTTGGGTCTCTCTTTAACCACTTCGACTATTTTGGGTGTGTAAAGAGAGATGGAGGCGAGTTCCGGGAAAGAGACTTGAGGGTCGTAGTGGTAAGCGAGTAGAGCGTATTTGATCCAGAGGTAGTAATAAGGAGAGACTTCGATGTCGTCTTCAAGCAAGAGACCAAAGTCATCATCAGTAGCTGGATACCAACTCTCACTCACAGCTCGGATTAAGCCTCCTTGGATGATTCTTCTTCTTAAGGTTTTTGTTCCGTGAGGCCAATCGAATGTGCTCACTACTTTTATCGTCTCTTCATCCACTTTGCTATCCATGTTGAAGCTGATAGATATTTCGTCACCTAGGTAGTATGCATTGCTCAAAGACCTAAGCAATCTTAATAAAGACTGAGCTCGGTTTTGAGTGATGATGTTCACTGAGATTCTCATCTTATTCCAGTCTGCAATCAAAACATTTTTTTGTCAACTCAGGTAAAACGAAATTGAGAAAAAAGCAATATCAAACAGGCAAAAGAAAAAAGATACTGATACATACTTGGCAATGCAGTTGATCTTAAATCAGCCATCCATAGAACCTTGGAGATAGAAGCTCTCGGGAGAAGAACCAGTGCGGTGCCATTCGGGTTAATCTCTGTAGCCATTTTCAAAGCTTTCTTGACATTAGGATCAGCATCAGCTACCGTTATCACAACGCTCGGGTTATGGATCTTGATAAGCCCTTTCATGCTCGAATACACAGCTTGCAACACAGGTACCTCTGAGTTCGACACACCCAATATAGCTCCAACTTCCAAATCAAAAATCTTGAACCTTCTCTCACTGCAAACCACCTTAGGCCAATTCAAAGCCGAGGCTGCATCCTCACACGGACAGAATTTCCCGCCCGATACCGCTATGTAAGCCTTTTTACCAACGGTGGTTCTGAACTTTTCAAGCAAAGGACCAAGTGCTTTGACTTCGTCGATTGAATGTGCGTAAAACAGAGCGTCGATCTTCTGAGGATGCATTGCAGCCCATTGAGTTACGTAACCAGTCGAAAGTGCTTTCCACCATTGGTTGTCTCTCACTTCGACAATGTTTTTGAAGATCACTGTGGTCTCAGACACGTAAGCGAGTCTATGTTCACTATCTCCCCATGTCTCCTTGTCATTTGGATCCACTGGAAGAACGAAAGATCCGGCATTTCTGTATTTCTGCAGCTGATAGCTGCAAAAGCGCAAAAAAGAAAATCAAACCCAACTTCAGAACAAAGTTTCCTTTTTTCACACCAGAGAATGAATATAATTTTACTTTCTCATGAAACGAAAATATTGTCTAAACACGTGATTCTATTACTCTCACGAAGATCATCATTTTTGATGAACGTTACTGCAATGAGTATGTATCAATGCGAGATTGTATGAGACTTTTACAATATTATAATATTATTTTCGGTTTTTATTCAAATTCCTGGAATTCAAGGAATTAGAACACTGCCTTATTGTGTACTCAAAAATTTGATTTTCCCGAAAAAATTCCCAGAATCGATGACACAGGTGACTAACCTCAGGTGAAGATCTTCGCCAGTGGCGAATGTGAATGGTTTCTCGATGAATAACGCTTTCACCAGCTCCGCCGATAAGAACCACGAGCTCGATAAGAAATCGACCTGGAGGATTCGATCCAGAGTGATGTCATAAGCCGGATCAGGCAAGTAAAGCCCAGCTTCCTTGGATCTAAACTTCCTGTAGCTCGGAAACGTGAAATCCTTCTGCCGGAAAGGAAGAATCCGTCCGATACTTCCCAGAACAGAGTTCTCGTACTTCTCCGTCCCGGCGACGTGCGCGAGCATCTGAAGCATCTTCTTCCCAGGAATCATATCATCGTCGAGTATGTAAACCAGATCCGCCTCCGTCTGAAGCGCGATCTGGAACCGTCCATAGTATTTGAAGTCGTAGTTCGAGCTGATGAAGCTGATTCGAGAATCGTTGTAGCTTCCGGTGATTCGCCGGAGAGAAGCTTCGTTTGGGGTCCCGAAGGCCAAAACCCAGACATGATGAAACGGCAACGTTTGGTGGAGGAGAGAATCAAGCTGAGCACAAAGCGTTTTCCTCTTAAAATGGTTTAGTATCACTGTTATTTTGGGTTTTCTAGGCCCATTTAAAGCCCATTTAGACTTCATCTTCATCAACTCATCTAAACTCTCAGACCCAAGGTTCTTCTTCTGGAACCCCAAAACCTCGTCGTAAAGCTCCCTCTTCATTTTGACCATCTTATCGTCGTTGGATTTCTTCTGCGAGAAATCGATCTTCTCATACTCGCAAACCTCCGCCGGAGAAACCTTCCCCGGGAAATGATCCTCTGATTTGAGAAAGGAAGCAGAGTCTTGGTAATGGCTGACGACGTGAGGGGTAACAATGTAATTACGCATATTATGGGCCCATTTGGTGGCCCAAGTGAAGTCTGGTTTGGCCCGTAAGTCAATGGAAGGACTCATGTAGTAGAGAAGTCCGGTGGCGTAGACGGCAAATGCGAACTGAAGAAATGTCAGCGCCGTCACGAACTTGGCGGAGTTGAGTTTCCGGCTAGGCTTTGGTTTTCCGGCAGAATATTCGCCAAAGATGCTCTCTATATAATCTCCGCCGCTTCTTACAGCCGGTGGCCGAATAAAACCCATTTTCTCAGAATCCAAAACCTTGTTTATTTGAAGAAAACACGAGAAAAATGAGAAAACGAAAGAGGGAAACAAGAATGTGGAGGTTGGTGCTTTTTTCTTCTTTCTGTAAACTGTTTATAGCAATGTATATATATGTGAACAAGAGATAAACACAGTACACAAACATATATAATATAAAGTGAGATTTGTGGGTGAAGAAGCATTACACAAGGAGGATTCACATGGGGTAAACGTTCATTAAAAATAAAGTAAAGTGTTAATATTTAAAAAACAAGATTTTTTTTATTAATTTTTATTGGTTGAATGTATAAAAAAGGTTACGCGATACCGTTAGATTGTGTAACTTATCAATTTGTTTTATTATTCAAGAAACTATCATTTAAGCCGGGTTCATTGGCGTATAAAAGGGATACCTTTGCATTTAACACTTCCATATGCTATGTTTTTTATTTTGCAAAAAACAATATTGTATATATATATATGTATGTAGTCATATTCACTTCAATAGCTATGCTACTTTTCAAAAAAATTATTATTATTATGTTATAATCGCTTTGCTACTTGAATTAGGCTTTTGTTTAGTTAATTCAATAGTTCTCTTTTCTCAATATCGCATCCACGGAACTTAAAATTGTTCAAAAGCTTAACAAAATTAGTATACTCGGTGTGGAAAACAAAATCAATTTTAACGTACTCTATTCATTTTTATATATCAGGTATTCTAACGTATGTACTCAATAATCTATTCATTCATATTAGTATATGAAAATTTAAAGATTTATGCAGCCTAGTCGAGAAGGAGATACATAAAGTTTATTACCTTTGTGTACATGATCGATCGTATTGTGGGAATCAAGCCTTTTCTTCTTCAACAATCGATCCACAAGATATATTATATTATAGTAACAGATTCTCCTTGAATAATGCAAAACTGAAGTAAAAGAGTCTAAGAATTCAAAGAAAGAAAGAAAGATTTGAGTAGAGAACGAGTTATTGAAAGTCTTAGGAGTATAAAAACATTTTATACAAAATGTTTCGGACAAGCGACGGTTTGACTTTGCAATTTGCATGTAGATACGTAGTTGAACTTTGCAGCAATTTGCCACCTTTTGCTTATATTATAGTCTCTCTGTTATCTTAATATTCTACTTTTTAATGGACTTCAACCGAACATTTTACCATAAAAACTCCATTTTAATTCCACATATATAATACATAATAACAAGAAACAAAAGGTAGCTAATTATTTTAAAAATTACAAATAAAGAAAATGGGGAAATATATAAAGATATATTTAACATCATAATTTTTAGTTTCAAATTAACTATTAACTATAATATTAATAAGATATACAAATCTCTTCTATAAATTGATGAGG